GTAGTTGAAATACACATAACATAAAATTTATCACTTTAACCATTTTTAGGTGTACAGTTGAGTGGTATTCAATATATTCACTCTGTTGTGTGACCATCATCCATCTACAGAATTTTTTCACTTTCCCAAACTGAAGCTCCAACCCATTAAACAATACTTCTGATAATTACCTTTTAGAGATACACAAATGTTATTGGCCATGCAAGATTTAGTGCAAAGGGCCTCCTGAAAATGGACAGGCTTCCACTCTGAGTCAGAACCATGGAACTTTCCAGAACGCTACCCAAACGCTCTCTTACATGCTGCCTTTCTCCATGCAAGTTTAAACAAATATAAAATATGACAGTGTATCTTAAAGAAGACATGACTAACAATTAGCTGTTGATGAGGTTTTGTACAGCATTACCTGTTAAATTGGTTGGGATGAATGTATTTTTATACCATTAAAATCTGGTGGCTGATAAGCTTTAGAAAATTCAGATTTTGTATAAAACTCAGGACCAAAGCTACAACTGGCTCTCTCTTGATCTCTTGATCCAGGTCTCCCCAGGGATCACAGAATGATGAAAAAGCAAGCTAACCCAAGATAGCTCAGATATGCTTATCTAGAAAGTTTCCACTTCAGCACAGTGACTAATATTTCAGCACACATTAGAGATGATATACAGTAGAAAGAGCAGTTAAATATGTGACCACAGGCAACTGTCTCAGTTTCCTCGTCTATAAACTGGGAATAATAATAGCACTTACCTCACAGACTGTGTGTTAAAAGGAGTTAATAAATCTAAAAGCTCAGAAGAGGCCCGTAACTTATAAACCAATTCAGTTCAGTGTAAGCTCTGTCTAGGTTTCCAAATACAGAAAAGGTAAAGACATACTCTAAACTCAAAGTTTATACAATTATACTAAGATGAGTGATAACATTTAAAGAAATACGAATCAGATATGAGATCAAGAAAAAATCAAAAATGGAGTAAATAACAGAAGTTTTAAAATGCTAACACTTCAATATCCCCAAAGAGTGACATGTCATGTTCTTCAGCTAAAGTTTTCAGGTGAAGATCTGATGACACCCCTAAATTTTAATACCTTTTATAGGCCACATACTAGTTGTCAAAAGTCAGTCAGGGTAAGCCTTATTATTCTACCTTCAATATGTAATTTCAGAGTATATTTTGAACAGAATTATCACACCCTAAATCTGACTTTAACCCCCAAGACAGACCTGACGCTCAATAACCCTACAAAACAGAAAGAAGAAACACCACTTAACTAATTTGTTATGACCATCATTTCTATTACTAGAGAAATAAAAGAAGATTTCTAAAAAAGGTATTTTAAGCTAGAAAGAATAAAAACAGGAAGCCACAGAGACGGGGTCTAATATCCTTATTTTTTTTAAACGTTACAGATACTAAAACATACTTCAGGAAAATGTAAATGTTACTGGTAAAGTGCTTTTCTGTGGACTTACAGAGGTTCACAATTTAATTCTTAAGCAAAGATCAGATTTGCGTTGCTTCCTTTATCTTAACACTCTTCAAAGGGGCTTAAATCAAAAACATATAATAAAATCAAAGACCTCAGAAGCATGACCAGTGGGTGGTCTCTCGTCTCAAGGGTAGACTTCAACCCTAGGTAATCTTGGCCTCATAAAACAGAATGAGGTTCTAAGGGCACAAGTGAGAGAGAGTTTTTCCTCGTTTCCTTTTTCACTTAATTTCCCAACAAACTCACCCATGTTAATACCCAGGCTTATTATGAACTTCTCCCTTTGAAGAGGGTATAAAATTTCTGTTAATCAGACAGTAAGTACTTCTTGAGCACCCTGCCAAGTGCTTAGCAGCTTAGCTCTGGGTAGACCCAGAAGAACAAAACAAGGTGCCTGTCCTTAGAAGGCTTTCAGTTCAGAGAAAACCAATAAGCTGGATGGTCCCCATTAGAAGCTTAACAGTGTTAAGAAATGAAACATCTTTTTGCCTTGAAATAAATTATTAGAAAAAGCTTCATGACCAGACCTTAAACAGGATATACTTGGGTGAACCAATATGGAAACGGATAATTAACATAAGAAGAAGCTAGGATACTAGAGTGAGCAAACAAACACTTATTAAGTACCTGATACCTGTCTGACATGCTACTGGGTCTTTTTATGTGAATGAAAAAAGACTATACATGAGAGTGATAGTAGACCTGGCTGAACGGCCTCGAGGTATCATACCAGAAGGCAGCAGAAGACAGGGCTGCAAGGTAGGGAGGTACCCTATCACAACGGGGGGGAAGAGACAGCAGGGGCAATGCGGTCCATGAGCAGATGGACCGGGAAAAGAGGCCATGCTGATACCCTCCTCTTGGATGATCAGACTACAAGGAACATACTTAATGCTGTAGAAACTTATGACAAGAGTAGAACAAGTAGAATGTTTAAATTTAACTTAAAAAATAAAAAGTCCTCTGAAAATTCAACTTAATTGCCTTTCAATCTATTAGATACCACTAAATTCCTATTCAAAGTTCACAAAAACTTTTCTTTTAATATGCATGATGTCTTCACAAAATATTTTCTTAATAAGTAATATATACCTCAGAATTTTTGAAAGGGAATTAAGGTACAAAAAAGAACCAAAAAAAGCACTGATTTCTATTTTTAAAATTAAATTCTGGTCACTGTCTCTTTAAGTTTAGCATAGCCTTGTTCTAACTTTTCATAAAACCTAAGTCTATAGGCAAATTAGCATGTTTTATGGATTTACAGGGTGTAAATTTCCACAGGGAAGGACAGCTACATGCCATCTCCAGGCATCTATAATTCACCAGCAGACTAAATAGAGGAGCTAAGTGCTCATCTAGAATATAAAATCCACAAAGGGCCAATGTAAATACATTTTTTATTTATCCTTTATCTATATACTAAAGAGAAATACAGTATAAAAATCAAAGCCAATTCCCTTCACCATAAATTAGAAAGGCCAAAAAGACTGAAGTATATAGGTCAGACACTTCTAC